AAGATAGCCGGCGGCGGGGTGGAATGGACTGGGGAGGGCTGATGGCACGAGAAGGCGTGGTGAGAGGCCCGGACTAGGGAGTGGGGTGGGGCCAGGGAGGCGGAGGGCGGGGTGGGGTTTGCCTTTAGGGTGGGTCAAGGCCAGGAAAGGAGCACTTGTTCCTTTGCTGCCCCAGAAGGCTAGAAGCCGAGGCGCCGAGAGTGGGCATGGCGACTTGGTCCCAGCCGGACTCGGGTATCCGGGGTGGGGTGGGATCGGCTCGGGCCAGGGCCCTGTGGCCCTCACTCGATCTTTCAGGGACTTGGTGCGGTTTCTCGAACTTAATTGGCTCTTGGGAGGCTTTAGTAATAAATTGCGTGAGAACGGGATAGTAGCGTAGGCAGGAATTCTGGGTCGCAGTTGTGTTTACTCTAACCAGACGAGGGTGCGCGCGCGCGTGCGTGCGTGCGTGTGTGTGTGTGTGTGTGTGTGTGTGTGGTGTGTAGAACCCTCTTCTCCATCAGAGTGAGGTTAGTAGATAGGCCACAACAGTAAGGAGAGGGGCAGTGTTTCGGTTTATGAGATTAATGGATGCTGAAAAGTATAAACCAGAAACTGAAAGGCGGGTTTACCCCTTCCCCACTTGGCGGTCTGGGCTGAGAACTTGGCCATATCCTTCTGCTTTGGCTCAAAAGGTCATACGAATGAAAATAAAAAATAAAACCAGCCTATGCATATTCTGGACGCAACACCCTTTGAAGCCCTTCCCATCCCTCTCATTCCCTTGTGTGTGTGTGTATATGTGTGAGATAAGAAAGGGAAATTAGGTTTCAAAGTTGGAAAAACAAAAGGCATAATTCTTTTGTGTGAGGTGGTGGCCTGAATGTCTTCCTCAAATGCTTTCAGGCTCACTTGTTAACAATCCTCTCCCTCTCTTAAAACTGGAAGGGACAGCAGATTGTAAGCAATTTTCTCCTGAGAGATGGGAAACCAACTTTCCTTTAAGAGAGCAAATGGTCTCCTCATGCTAAAAATAGAAGCTGGGTAATGTCCCTGTTAGGGGGAGAGAGGGTTGGTAAATAGACAAGGTGTAAGATACTTTGGATGCCCAGGGCATTGGCTGTCTGAAAAGCAAACTAAGTTTTGGAGGATTCCAAATTTAATATTCAGTAACTGAGAGCCTTTGTGATCAATACCTTCCTTTTATAGTTGTTGTTCTGGCTGTAACAGGTGGTTTTATTTTGTTGTGTTCTTTGTTGTCGTTTTCTGAGAGTATGTGTGATTTTTCTCTTCCTGTAAAAGTGGCCTTTTAATGTGTTTTCTACCTTCTATGAAGGTTGTCTTATCTGCATCGTGTGTGACAAGGACAGAATCTTATCCTGTTGCTCTTGTCATTCCCATTTCAGGTTTCTCTGGAAACCCCCCTGGTAAGTGTGAAGGAGGCGGGACACTCTGACCCAAGACAAAAGGCTTGTAGCTCCAGTCAAAGAAAATAAACCTTAGGAGAGAGAAGGAGAAAAACAATCCATCAGCTGTTCCTGAGAACAGCCTGCAGTGGAATCTACAGAGAGGACAACTAATGTGAGTGAGGAAGTGACTGTATGTGGACTGTGGAGACAGTAAGTCACGTGGGCCCCGAGGGCCTGGACTGGGTTAGGAACAGTTGTACTTTCAGAAGTGAGGTGTCGAGAAGGGAAAAGTGAATGTGGTCTGGAGTGTGGCCTTGGCTCCACGGGGGTGTGCTTTCCTCTGGGGCCATCAGGGGGCTCAGCCCCTGTGTTCTGCCAGGGTGGGGTACAGGGTTTGGCACTGAGGAAGGTAACCTGCTGGCTGGAGCGGCAGAGCAGTGGCCTTGATTTGTCTTTTGGAAGATTTAAAAACCAAAAAGCATAAACATTCTGGTCCTTCAGCAATGCTTTCTCTGAAGAAATACTTAACGGAAGGACTTCTCCAGTTCACCATTCTGCTGAGTTTGATTGGGGTGCGGGTGGACGTGGATACTTACCTGACCTCACAGCTCCCCCCGCTCCGAGAGATCATCCTGGGGCCCAGTTCTGCCTATACTCAGACCCAGTTCCACAACCTGAGGAATACCTTGGATGGCTATGGTATCCACCCCAAGAGCATAGACCTGGACAATTACTTCACTGCCCGGCGGCTCCTCAGTCAGGTGAGGGCCCTGGACAGGTTCCAGGTGCCAACCACTGAGGTCAATGCCTGGCTGGTCCACCGGGACCCGGAGGGGTCTGTCTCTGGCAGCCAGCCCAGCTCAGGCCTCGCCCTCGAGAGTTCCAGTGGTCTCCAAGATGTGACAGGCCCAGACAACGGGGTGCGAGAAAGCGAAACGGAGCAGGGATTCAGTGAAGATTTGGAGGATTTGGGGGCTGTAGCCCCTCCAGTCAGTGGAGACTTAACCAAAGAGGTTAGTGGCCCTGTGGTGGGTGGGTGGGGGTCTGGGATAAGGGTGGGTGGGCTGGTCCTAAAGGAATGTGGTCACAGCACTAAGTCCTGTAAAGAACCAGAGAGGCATCATGGGGGTTGCAGGCACTGTTCTTGGATAGGAGTGAGCCGAAGAGCTGAATTGTTCGACTGTAAGATGATGGGTGGGAGTTTTTCCCTGCTTTGAACCACTGACCCACCTCTCAATGTACTGTCAGGGCAGTGGGAGGTTCCTAGAATATGCCAGGGTGTTTACTGCTTCGATTTCAACATGACTGCTGGAGGCCTGGGTGGGGGAGGGAATTGTGTTGTGATGGGCTTCACTGCAGTGTGTGTCTGTTGCTAAGACACAAATACTTCGTGGACTCTTGCCTGGTACCTCCCCTCACATCAAACACACATACATACCCTGAAGTTCTCCTCCTTTGTGGTCAGGCCTGTTGTTGTGAGGTCCTGATAATTCAGCTCTCTTGGGCCTGAGCCAAGGGGTAGATTTGGAAAGTTATTCTTGGCCAGGAGAGAGCCAAGGCTTCCATTCTTTGCTATAGGCCCACTGCAGGGAGTGGGGAAGAGGGCCGGGAGCTAGAAAAACTGCATCCTGCTGCCCAAGTCAGCTTGCTTTGAGCTGTCAAGAGAGCTTTAGCTCCAGTCATGTGGCTGACGCACTTTCTGGGCAGAAAGGGGATGCAGTTTGTTGCCCTTAATGCTTCAAGTAGCTACTGCTGCCTCTGCCGCACTAACATGATGAGACCGCTGTGAGCTCAGTGTGGCTCTGACCTGCCTCCCCCCAGCCCCCCAGCCTTGAACTGGAGCAAGGCCCACTGCATTCCCCCAGCCCTTAGGGGACTGTTGCCTGGGTCAGGCTCTCAGAGGCGGATGTGGAGGGATATGCAGGTTTCGCAGGTGCTACAGAACTCTGCTCACTCGCCCACCAGGTCAGACCGCCTTTTGCCTCTCCTGTACTGGAGCCTGTTCCTGAGTGCAGCTCTCTGAATATTAGTGACTGCCAAAGAATAGGGCTTGCTTTGGGCCAGTGCTCCTCAACTGAGATCAATGCCTGGAGACAGTTTTGCTTGTCACAACTGGAGGAAGGGGAGTGGTACTATGGGCAGAGGCCAAGGGTGCTGTTTAACATCCCAAACAGCACAGGGCAGCCCCCACACAACAGATTTGCCTGCCTGAGTGCCAGTAGTGCTCAGGCTGAGAAAGTCTGCTCTTCTCAGCTGAGTTGTACTGGACCTGCTTTGAGAGCAAACAGGGTTATCTGAGTGGGAGCTAGGAACGTTTGTTAGCTTCCAGGGCCCCTTGCCTTGACTCAGAGCCACCCCTTCCCTTCCCTTCTATTTCTCTCTCCTCCCTTCCCTTCCACTCCAGCATTGGCACAGGTTCTGGGCCCCAGCTCTGCTTCCAGGTGCCTCCTAGGAGCTCCCCAAAGATTGGGTAGATCTGGGCCTGTTCCTTGGAACCCTGCAGGGTTGCTCCAATCTAGGTCCTGCTGAGATGGGATGGGATGGGATATTTGGGTACAGTTGGGTGGGTTTCTTATGAATCTGCTTTTCTCTGTTTCCTGGCCCTACTAAAGGTTGGTGGGTCAGCGTTAGGGGCCCAGGCTGAGTGTGGGGGAAGGGAGGATTATTATGTGTCTAGAACAACATTTCCTCAGCAACTCAGGGATAAAAATACCCAGGTCCAGAGCATGTGACAGGCACTGCTGGAGCCTGTATTATCCCTGGGGTGGTAGTTTTCCCCACTGCCAGGCCTGTTCGATGGACAGCCGTAGCATAGGCCCTGGTCAGGGATAGGATTCCCCTTGGAGTTGGCTCTCTGCCCAGAGCAAGGGGGTGGCCTGTTGACAGCTCTTTCCAGCCTAGGAGCAGGCTGTGACCAGGGAGAACATACTGTCTCTGACCTGACCTTAGGCTTCGGGTAGCAGCAGAGAGAAGGGAGCTGGGGAAATCAACCCCAGGAGGCAGAGTGGACTGTTTCTGACAGGCTGCTTTCCTGCTTGGAGAGAACACTCTGGACATACCTGGGGTAGAGGGGGAGGTGGCATATTTGTGGCCACGCATGGCAGAGCACCTGTCTCCCTAAGTGTGGGCTTCAAGGTGTGTCCCTTCCTCTTGCTTGGGGCTAGGCTGGCCATCACTGACATTGCTTAAGCGTGCAGAACTGGCTTTCCCCTTCTAGTCTGGCCTGTTTGAGGGTGACAAAGCTCCTGGCTCTTAGTGGGCCTGGGTGCCCTGGGTTCCTGCCCAGACTGGCTTGTGATCCCTGGCCTTGAGGACTGGCCACAGCCTTCCTGAGGAACGGAAAACTCCCTCCACTTACAGCATAGAATTGAGATTCCCGGAGAGGCTGCGGGAGGAGTGTCTGCCCAGTCCTGAGTGGGCTGGGTAAGCGAGATGCGACAGGAGGGAGGAGGTGGCACCCCTTCCCCCAGGGCTCTCTCACTGCGCCACCCCAGCTGACTGACTGGGCTGGGTGGGGCCGCCCGCCCCTGGGTGCATCTCCTCAAGGAGACGGAGGCGGCCGGGGATGGGCTGGTTCCTTGCGGCAGCTTCTCCAGCTGCCCTGGTGCAGAGATTGGCTCCCGTTTGCAGCTAGGTAACAGGCGGTGGGAGGGGATTGGCTCCTTCCGCATCTCCAGCGGAGACTTGGGGGAGGAGATTGGCTCTCAGTGCAGCCTAGGTAACGACAGTGGGAGGGGATTGGCTCTTTCCGCAGCCCAGCTGCTGACCTGGGGGAGGGGATTGGCTCTCTGCAGCCTCAGCAGTGACCTGCGGGTGGGAGGGGGAGGGGATTGGCTCCTTGCTGCAGCCTAGGTAACAAGTTTGGGGGGCGTGGGGAGGGGAGAAAGGGAGGAATGGGACGCTAGGCCTAGGAGGGAGCTTGCTTTCCTCTGCAGCTTGAGCACGGAGCATGGGGTGGGAGTCCCATCTCACTGCAGCCTCTGCGGTGAGCTCAGGGTGGGGGCTGCTGGGCGCCTGAGTGGAACTGGGGTTGTGAGGTGGGAGGGGGCTGCTCAAGGATGGAGGAAGGGGGCTGGGCTGGGCCGCCCAGGCAGCAGCACGGGCGGGGCACCCTCCTCAGGCCCCTCGGAGCTAGCAAGGGGCCACCCTTCCAGCCTGGTGTGCTCCCTGCAAGTCAAGAGCTCCTTGCAGCCCCCTGTCCGGCTTCCCGGCACCGGCTGCCCTGGGGCTCATCTCGCAGACCATGACCCGCCTGGACCGCAGCTCTCACAGTGGTGGGGGCCATGCCAAAGGCAGCCGGCCCCTTAACTCTTTGCTGGCTGGTCACCAGGTGGCCCAGCCCCCCTCTGCTCCTGGGTCTGTTCAGGTTGGTGTGTGTGGGGAAGACTTAAAAGGGAGAGGTACATCTGGGAGGTCGTAGCATCGGGGAGGGTTTTGGGGGGAATGGATACCTGCTTAGGGCTAGGGAGGTGGGTCTGACTTAAGCATGCTGCTTTCTGGAAAGTGTGTATCTACTTTTTAACCCCTGTGTAGAAGGCAACACTTTAGGGTTTCTCAGGCTTGTGGGGAGGGCTCAGCCACAAGGCGGCATGCAGTGGAAGCCCAAATGTGTCTGTTTATTGGGTTCTTTGCTGATGGCAGTGGGATTGGCAGTTGGTGCAGGAACTGTTCGGGAGCTACCATGGTAGAGTGGAAGGAGGCATTTTGGTGGCCCTGGTGGTAGTCGTAGCTGAATAGCGATGGGGGTTATGTCCTTGAGTGGGCTGACTGATGGGCAGCCGGGAGTCCTAGGGTGTGGTAAGGAAAGGAATTAGAGAGCACTGGCATGCGGGGACTTTGGGGCTGGCCTGGGCAGGGTGGATACCCAGTTGGGATCACCTGACTGCCCGAAGTGCTCCTGGGATCAGTGGAGAATGGGAATTCTGGTAGGGATGGATCTCCAGGTGAGCCTGGGCTGTAGAGCTGTGGGTGTTCAACCTCTTTCCTGCTGTCACCGCTATGGAGGAAGGGCTGGAGACAGCCTGTCCTGGTTGGCTGCATCAGGTGGTTGGAAATGCAGGGATTTTCCTAGCCACCCCACCCTACCCCACCCCTCCCCACCCCACCCCTTTATGCAAATGACACGGCACCACCAGCTGATGCAAGCCTGGCCACTGCTAAGTAGTTCTGCATTACAGTTCACCCTTGCTTGTCATGTCTAGCTTCCTACAAACCAAGTTTTAAGGGGTTCCCATATCCAGAAGGAGAGGTATCTCCTGCTTCCCCTTCTTTCCTGGGTTGGGGTGAGATGGCCCTGTGTGTCTCTAGCGAAATCCTAAACCTGCAGACCTTTATGGTGACAGTCATGCTAATGGTTTTTTCTAGTGGCTTTTTTTTTTTTTTTTTTTTTTGGTTCTAGTGGCTTGCTTTTATTTTTATTTTTATTTTTGTGAGGGAAGGCAGGAGAGGGAGGGAAGTGTCTGGAAGAGGATGAATGAAATCTTGCTGGTGCAGAGGGGCAGAGGGGCAGGCTGGCAGGTGTAGGATGGGGAGAGACCCAATGCAGGACTAACTGAAGTGACACTAGGAGGGCCTGCGAGGGGCAGGACAGGGAGGGGCCCCGGGACTTGAAAGCTAAAGTCATGGTGATCTGTCTTTCAGGACATAGATCTGATTGACATCCTTTGGCGACAGGATATTGATCTGGGGGCTGGGCGTGAGGTTTTTGACTATAGTCATCGCCAGAAGGAGCAGGATGTGGATAAGGAGCTACGAGATGGAGGAGAGCAGGAGGACACCTGGGCAGGCGAGGGTGCGGAGGCCCTGGCGCGAAGCCTGCTAGTGGATGGAGAGACCGGGGAGAGCTTCCCTGCACAGGTATGCCACCTCTGCCCTCTCGCTCTCTTCTCCCTGCTTCTTCAGAACTCACAAACCAGACTGGAATTCTTCCAGAAACTTCCCTGTAGAGGAGGCAGGTTGTCTGCAGGGTAGATCTGAATGTCTGTTGTATTGGGGTCTCCAGGTCACTGCGCTGGGCTGTGGAAGAGGGAGTGACTGAGTAGTACACACAGAAGGGTCAGGGCCTGGCGAAAGGCAATGCAGAAGGGGCCTAGTGTCTAGCATCTTCCTGCTTGCTTCAGGGTCATTCCTTACTCACTTCTGTTGTCCCTGGGAGTTAGGGACTCTGGGCCAGCCATCTTCCTAGGACTGGGAGGGAGATGTAGGCCTGCAGCCAAACTGGGGAAGAGGCTTCAGCCCCAGGCAGCCTAGGCCCAGGTCGGTCAGACTGACGGTTGCTGTTGCCACAGGTGCCTGGTGGGGAGGACCAGACGGCCCTGTCCCTGGAAGAGTGCCTTAGGCTGCTGGAGGCCACCTGCCCCTTTGGGGAGAATGCTGAGGTGAGCAGGACTCCAGGGAGAGCCCCCAAGCCAGTAGGGCAGCCAGCACATGGTGTGTCCCTCCAGGCTGGCTGAGGGGCCAGCTCTCAGTTCCAGCCTTGTCTTGGCTGCTGGTGGTGAATTCAGAGGAAGGAGGAAACAGAAAACCAGGTGATAGTCTCTGGGAGGAAAGCAGAAGGTAGACTCTCCTCCCCAGTTAAAGCCTCTGTTTTGCCCTAGTTTCCAGCAGACATTTCCAGCATCACAGAAGCAGTGCCTAGTGAGAGCGAGCCCCCAGCTCTTCAAAACAACCTCTTGTCTCCTCTCCTGACGGGGACAGAGTCACCATTTGATTTGGAACAGCAGTGGCAAGATCTCATGTCCATCATGGAAATGCAGGTAGGATTCCCCAAACCTGCATAGGCTGAGCAGATTCTGAGTAGGTGTGCTAGCATTCAGCTGCTCTTCTGCCACTGGAGTGAGAAAACGGCACTTTGATCCATAGAAAAGGGCAGAGAGAGGTAACCTGGCTGGGTGAATCCTTGTAGCCATGGAGGTGGTGGTAGTGGGTATAGGATGTTGGGTTAAAATTCAGGACTGTGCCTTGTGCAGCAGGGCCTACCTTCTGGTACGCCTTCTTTCCTTGCTTTAGGCTGACTGTCACTTGGCCGGGTGCTTCCAGGGCTTAGCATCAGTAACAGCTGACCTTCATCTGATGCTTTACTGTCATCAGCGGCTCATTGGGCTCTCACAGTCATCTGGTCAGCCCTTTATCGTTTTAAGGGCTAAGAAACAAGCTCAGAGAGGTTAAAGTGATTTGCCAGTGGTCACATAGCAAGTGGTACAGTTAAGTGTTCTGATTTAAGTCTGGGTTCGCTACTGATTTTGCAGTAAAAAGGTAGTGTTTGTGTTTTCTTCTTTTCCTCCAAGATTGGGGGAACTGGCCAAACACATCCAGGGGCTGATCAGTCTTGCATCAGTGTGGAGTCCCCCATCTCTGACCAGGAGCTGGCTTCGTGGGCCTTGACTTGCCATCTCTTGCCTTCACACTCATGCAGCTGAGCCTTTGCTGGGTGTTACAGGGTATAAAGTCCCAGGGAGGGAGTCTGTTTCTAGAGAACAGTGGTCTTTTCTCTCCTCGTAGGCTATGGAAGTGAACACCTCAGCAAGTGAAGTCTTGTACAGTAGCCCTCCTGGAGACCCACTGAGCACCAACTACAGCCTTGCCCCCAACACTCCCATCAATCAGAATGTCAGCCTGCATCAGGCGTCCCTGGGGGGCTGCAGCCAGGACTTCTCGCTCTTCAGCCCTGAGGTGGAGAGCCTGCCTGTGGGCAGCAGTGCCACACTACTCCCGCTGGTCCCCAGCAGTTCCACCAGCCTCAACTCCACCTTTGGCTCCACCAATCTGGCAGGGCTCTTCTTTCCACCACAGCTCAATGGCACAGCCAATGACACTACAGGCCCTGAGCTGCCCGACCCTCTGGGGGGTCTGTTAGATGAAGCCATGCTAGATGAGATCAGCCTCATGGACCTGGCCATAGAAGAAGGCTTTAACCCTGTGCAGGCCTCGCAGCTGGAGGAGGAATTCGACTCCGACTCAGGCCTCTCCTTGGACTCCAGCCATAGCCCTTCCTCCCTGAGCAGCTCTGAAGGCAGCTCTTCGTCGTCGTCATCCTCCTCCTCTTCCTCTTCCTCCTCTTCCTCCGCTTCTTCCTCTGCCTCTTCCTCCTTTTCCGAGGAAGGAGCTGTTGGCTACAGCTCAGACTCTGAGACCCTGGATTTGGAAGAGGCGGAGGGCGCCGTGGGCTACCAGCCCGAGTATTCCAAGTTCTGCCGCATGAGCTACCAGGATCCGTCTCAGCTCTCCTGCCTGCCCTACTTGGAGCACGTGGGCCACAATCACACGTACAACATGGCACCCAGCGCCCTTGACTCTGCCGACCTGCCCCCACCAAGCGCCCTCAAGAAGGGCAGCAAGGAGAAGCAGGCTGACTTTCTAGACAAGCAGATGAGCCGAGATGAGCATCGAGCCCGAGCCATGAAGATCCCCTTCACCAACGACAAGATCATCAACCTGCCAGTAGAGGAGTTCAACGAGCTGCTGTCCAAGTACCAGCTGAGCGAGGCCCAGCTGAGCCTCATCCGGGACATCCGGCGTCGGGGCAAGAACAAGATGGCGGCACAGAACTGCCGCAAGCGCAAGCTGGACACCATCCTGAACCTGGAGCGCGACGTGGAGGACCTGCAGCGTGATAAAGCCCGGCTGCTGCGGGAGAAGGTGGAGTTCCTGCGGTCGCTGCGGCAGATGAAGCAGAAGGTCCAGAGCCTGTACCAGGAGGTGTTCGGGCGGCTGCGCGACGAGAACGGGCGGCCGTACTCGCCCAGCCAGTACGCGCTGCAGTACGCCGGCGATGGCAGCGTGCTCCTCATCCCGCGCACCATGGCCGACCAGCAGGCGCGGCGGCAGGAGAGGAAGCCCAAGGACCGCAGGAAGTGAGCCTGGGGTGGAGCTGACGCTCACTGAGATGAAACTGGAGAAGGGCTGGGCCTGGACCTGGACCTGGACCTACAGCGGGGACTCGATGCCTTCTTATCCAATATATCTTCTCAGATGGGATGACTGCGGGTCAGTGTACAGGAAGAGGCGGGCGCAGGCGCTGTCTGGCTCCGCTCCCCCCGCGGGGGAGTGGGGTGGAAGTGGCCAGACCGCTGGGTGGACAGGGTCCTCACCCCTGCCCCTTGTGTGGGAGGGAAGGGTGGTGCTGGCCTTGCTGGAGGGAGAGGGGCGACGTGGAGCGAGGGCCGCTAGAGGGGAAGGAAGGGGACTTGTGAGAGGAAAGTAGTAGAAAGGCACATTCCTGGAAAGGAAGGAAAGAAACCCAAAAAAATCAAAGCAGGACGAAAACCGAAGGGCAGGTCAGACTGGCTGTGGCCAGGATCCAGCAGCAGGTTGGAGCAACTGGTGGGCCTAGGCTACTGGTGCCGTAAACCTTATTCACCCAGGGGGAGGGAGCACACAGACACAGGGTGGGGCTGCGGGGGCTTTGCCCACTCTTTCTGCTCCTGACCTTGGTGTCCTGGAAGGGGCGTTCTTGGATACCACTTGTAATGTTCCAGTGCAATGAGGGCAACCCAACAGGGGCTTGGAGGTTTAGGGTCAAAGGGCAGAGGGAAAGGGACATGAGGCCCTCTACGTTGTAGCAGCCCCCAACACTAAGCATGTCACACTGCCGGGCCACTGCCACCCCTCCTGTGCTCCAGTCCCCAACCTTCACTCCCAGCTGAGGCTCCCATCCCATCCACAGAGCCTGCATGTCGATACTACTCTTCCCATCCGCCATTCTGTTCTGGCCGCACGGCTGCCTGCAGCTCTGGAGTTGGGGGGTTGTGTGGCAGTGCACCCTGTACTGGACTGGACTGCCATCTTCCTCTTCCCCAGTCCACTCTGAGGCAGGGGAATGACATGGAGAAGCCAGCGCAAGCACCTCCAGGCAGTATTCAGCACAATACTGGGGAATGACCTTAACCCTCAGGCCTCTGCCTGCCCACAGCTGGGCTTGTCACTGGGGGAAAAATACAGAGCCCAGTAACAAACTAGTCCTAGAATTTCATGCGCTTTGACACCCCCCCCCCCCCCCGCCGCGGCGTCCGC